GGGGGCCACATTCTGGTTCAGATCGCAGCGGCACATCTGACTGAAAGTGGGAGCGGGCACCTGTCAAAACCATGTACCCGCTCCCCCCCAAAAGGTGCCAAATGTGGCAGTGGAAGGGGGGGGGATGCAAACAAGCTTAACGTCCCCTTTTGGGTGAAGTTCCACTTTAACAGGGACAGAGACAGCATTAAAATCCTGACCTCGAAACTATATCCAAATCTGTAAAAAAAATTAAAAAAACAATAAAAAATTGCCAATACTCATATTTAAAGCCTACGCAAGTCTAGCGACTGGATCTACGATGACATCAACCCAATGGAAATGATGATCCCCAGCCATGATCTGGTCAAATTGCATACAGTAAAATGAAGTCACAAAGCGACGATGGGAACACAGCGCGTGTATGTTTCTGTTGACGTGCGGTAACTCCCAGCAAGCAACCTCCCAGGGTCTGAACATAGTTGATCTATAGCTGCAGAACCCCAGGCCCTGTAGCTGTGAAGGAGTGTAGTGAAGTTTGACAGAGGTGTCCCCTGCCTGCAGACCCAGAGCCCAGCTACATCCACAGGTGTCCCCCCCAATGATCCCACCATTACAGTGCACAGTGATGCTGTTGAGCTGGCCAGGAAGCAGTAAGTGCCCCTGTCTCCTCAGTGCTGGGGGATGAGGAAGAGTCTCCTGTGCCGGTGTGTGTCCACACAGCTCCCCTCCTCCTCCCTCGGATGACAGTGCAATCCCTCCTCCCAGGCCTCTCCCTCCTCTCCGCACCGCACACACACACCTGACGGGCCCCTGCCTGCTCACACAGCCCCGGACAAGGGCCCCCCCTCACCCTACACGTGTGTCAAGTCACTGAGTGACACCGGGGCGGACCACTGGCTGAGGGCCTCAAGCCTCGGCCTGGAAGTCAGGGTGTCCCCGGGAGCTGTGCGGAGGGAGGGGAGGAAGCTGGGAGGAAAACAAGGCCCAGGGGAGACAGGTGTGAAGGCTGAGGGTGACAGGGGAGGGCTCCACGTCGGGAGTACGAGGCCTGCAGGAATGGGGAAGAGGAGCCGGTTACACCGGGGGGGAGGAGCAGGAGGCCCGGGGCCTGAGAACACAGCACTGTGTATAGTGTCCGGACAGGCCGGCCTGCCCGGGGAGACGTGCGTGTAGACGGCGGAGGAAGGGGGCTCAGTCGGCGGATTGTCGCCTGTGTCCTCCCCTCGCCACTCACCTTCATGTCGGGGACATCCTATCGCTCAGGCCGCCGCCGCTGCAGCTGCTCCTCCGACTCCTCCTCCTAGTGAGAGAGCAGTGAGTGTGTGTGTGCTTCCTCTACACCCTCCTCCTCTTCCTCCTCCTGACTCCACACCAGCCTACCTCATACATACTTCTTCTACCTATATCCTATATAGGTGGCCATACTATGGGGGAGCCTTCCTCTGTCACCTGACACCAGGCACCCTCACAACACCCCTGTCCTGGCCTGAACAATACACGACGTGCAGAGTAAACAACTTCTTCTGCATAGGAAGTTCAGTGTATACCAATAGTTCCATTCCTTGGGCCATTAAAGTGTTACTAAACCCACAACAGCAAAATCAGTCTATATGCAGTAAAGCATGCTTGTTATACTCTGGAACCTAAGGGGTAAATCCTCTGCATTGCATAAAAAAGCTCTTTGATCCTGTCATCCCTGATCTTCCCCTTCTTCTACAGTCCCCAATCCATCTGCTGATACTACAGAGCTCTAGGAGGCACTCTGCACATGCTCAGTTTGGTGTATTTGCTAGAGAGCTTCTTTTTTTGGTGTGGGTGCATGTGGTCAGCATGGGGCCAATCAGCACTGTCCAGTTAGAGGGTCAGTGGTCATGTAGACTCAGAACAGTCAGAAGAGAATGAAAACTTCCCCTACAAGCATCAAAGTGTTACTAAACCCACAACAGTAAAATTATTCTGTATGTGCAGTATAGCATGCTTGTTATACTCACTGTGGAACCTCCACATTTTGTAAAAAGGCTGTTTGATCCTGTCTTTTCTGATCCTCCCTTTCTTCCACAGTCCCCAATCCATTTGCTTATAGTACAGAGCCCTAGGATTCACTCTGCACATTCTCATTTTAGTGGTTATGCTAGAGAGTTTTTTTTATTGAGGGTGCATATGATCAGCACAGGGCCAATCTGCACTGTCCAGACAGAGGGGCAGGGGTCATGTAGCCCCATAGGACAGTCAGAGGAGAATGAAAACTCCCCCTACAAGCTTTAAAGTGTTACTAAGCCCACAACAGTAAAATCAGTCTACATGCAGTAAAGCATGCTTGTTATACTCACTGTGGAACCTAAGGGGTTAGTCCTCTGCATTGCATAAAAAAGCTGTTTGATCCTGTCATCCCTGATCTTCACCTTCTTCTACAGTCCCCAATCCATCTGTTGATACTATAGAGCTCTAGGAGGCACTCTGCACATGCTCAGTTTGGTGTTTATGCTAGGGAGCTTTTTTTTTTTATTGTGGGTGCATGTGATCAACACAGGGCCAATCAGCACTGCCCAGGCAGAGGGTCAGGGGTCATGTAGACTAAGAGAACAGTCAGAGGGGAATGAAAACTCTCCCTACAAAGTGTTACTACAGAGTCCTAGGAATCACTCTGCACATTCTCATTTTGGTGGTTATGCTAGAGAGTTTTTTTTTAGGGAGGGTGCATGTGATCAGCACAGGGCCAATCAGCACTGTCCAGACAGAGGGTCAGGGGTCATGTAGCCCTATAGGACAGTCAGAGGAGAATGAAAACTCCTCCTACAAGCTTTAAAGTGTTACTAAACCCACAACAGTAAAACAGTCTGTATATGCTGTAAAGCATGCTTGTTATACTCACTGTGGAACCTAAAGGGTTTATCCTCTGCATTGTGTAAAAAGGCTGTTTGATCTTGTCTTCTCTGATCCTCCCCTTCTAGTGTCGCCACTCCATCTGCTGATAGTACAGAGCCCTAGGAGGTGCACATGCTCAGTTTGGTGTTTATGCTATAGAGGTTTTTTCTGGGGGGAGGATGTATGTGATCAGCACAGGGCCAATCAGCACTGTCCAGACAGAGGTCAGGGGTCCTACAGCCTTAAAGCTTTAACCAATGCTCTGCTGGGCACTGATAAAAGTCACAAGTCTACTCTAACTGCTGATGAGAAAAGGTATTTAGCAGTTGATATTTACTAAAATAATTGCATTGCCATGTTCTGTATACCATGGGAGACCAGATATAGTGAATGCCGGGCCTGGGGTTAAGTAACACTTTAATTTTATTTTAAAAGTTCCATTTTTAACCACTTGCCCTCTGGAAAGTTTTACCCCCTTCATGACCAGGGCATTTTGTGTGCTATTCAGCACTGTGCTACTTTAACTGGCAGTTGCACAGTCATGCAACACTGTAGGCAAATACAATTTACATCATTGTTTTCACACAAATAGAGCTTTCTTTTGGTGATATTTGATCACCACTGGATTTTTTTTTTTTTATTATATAAATGAAAAAAAAAAAAAAGAAAACTTGAGAAAAAGAAACAATATTTTCTTTCTGTTATAAAATATATCCAATAGAAAAATAAAAAAAAATCTAATTTCTTCATAAATGTAGGCCAAAATGTATTATGCTACATGTCTTTGGTAAAAAAAAAAAAAAAAAAATCCCAATAAGTGTATATTATTTGGTTTGTGTGAAAGTTAGAGTGTCTACAAACTATGGAATATATACTGACATCTGTACACTATACTGGTAATGACAATGATCAGCAGGACTGTGATAGTGTGGCAATCTAGCGCTAGCTGACCCTGGCAGGGAGGACCACTAACTGATTAACAGACACTGACATCAATAGTAACATTAATACAGTGATCAATGCTAATACTCTGCACTGTCACTGTACTAATGACACTGGCTGGGAAAGGGTTAACAACAAGGGGCAATCAAAGGGTTAGCAGTGTGCCTAATGTGTAATATGTGCTGCTCTTGCTTTACTGTCTGTTTTTCCTCCCTTTTTGCAGGGGGAAAAACAGCCAGATCGCTGTGCCCTGTACATAGAGTTCTGTGTTGTGTAAACACAGAGCTCTGTGTGTGATTGGACACAGCTGATCAGCTGCCAAACTTGTGCTGTGTTCAATCCAAGAAGAAGGCCAATCATGCATATACTGTATACAGTATGCGATTGTGCCTGCACCTGCCACCCCGCCGCAGTAATGTACTGTGGTGGGGCAGAAGTGGTTAAGTGGAACTTTACCCATACCAGTTTAATAATACATATTATTATTATTATTATTATTATATACAGGATTTATGTAGTGCTGACTGTTTGCACAGCGCTGTACAATATAAAGGGGGACAGTACAATTACAATACAGTTCAATACTGTATTGCGGGGAAGAGGTGCAGGACATGGAAGTGGATAAACGTAGAGAGTTCGATGAATCTATAGATGATGACATAAAGGAGAAGAAAGCTGTTCAAGATGGAGACGCGCAGAATGGCAAAGAGGCAGCAGATGACTCAGAGACACCAGTAAGCCTGGAGACCATCAACCTGGATCTTGAAGCTGAGGATGTCGACTTAAACCACATGTGAATAGGAAAGATTCAGGGATTTGTGGTGCTTAGAAAAGTAAAGACCCTGTGCCTTGCGACAAAACCTTATAAAGGTGATTGAGAACTTGGAACAGTTGGTGTCATTGAATGAATAGGACCTCTATGACAATCAAATCTGTATTATCCAGAACCTGGAGAACCTGAGTCAACTCCAAATTCTGGACCATTCATTTACCTTCTAAAACGTATTGAAGGTCTAGAGCCATTGACTCAGGTACATCGCCTCTATTTGGTGAATAACAAGATCAGCCGAGTTGAGAATGTCAACAGTTTAACAAAGCTCCGTTTGCTAGAACTGGGCTCAAACCGTATCCGGGAGATTGAGAATCTGGATACATTAAGAGATCCTGACAGCCTTTTTCTTGGTAAAAACAAAATCACCAAATTGCAGAACATGGAAACTCTAAGTAACCTCACTGTACTGAGCGTACAGAGTAATCGCCTTACAAAGATTGAAGGCCTAAAGAGTCTTGTGCATCTGCGTGAGCTCTACCTAAGTGACAATGGCATCCAAGTTTTGGAGGGTGTGGAGAACAATAAAAAGCTCACTACTTTGGATGTTGCTTCTAATAGAATAAAGAAAATTGAAAATATCAGGCATTTGACAGAACTCCAGGAATTCTGGATGAATGACAACTTGGTGGATAATTGGGCAGACTTAGATAATCTCCAAACACGAAAAGGTTTCTTCACAGTGAGAGCCGTGAAAATGTGGAATAGACTCCCTCAAGAGTTGGTTCTGGCCAACTCAGTGGATTGCTTCAAAAAAGGCCTGGATTGTTTCTTAGATACACAGAATATAACTGGATACTAACATTTATTGGTAAAGTTGATCCAGGGAATATCCGATTGCCTCTCGGGGGATCAGGAAGGAATTTTTTTCCCAGCAGGAGCAAATTGGATCGTGCTCTGCTGGGGGGGGGGGGGGGTTTGCCTTCCTCTGGATCAACTGTGGGTATAGGATTATAACTTTTTTTTTTTTTTTTTTTTTTTTTCCTATGGTTGAACTGGATGGACTTTTGTCTTTTTTTTCAGCCAGACTAATTATGTAACTATGATGCAGAGGGAATAGGAGGACCCTGCTCATGGAGCTTACAATCTAAAGGAATTAATGTTCTTTAAGAAAAGGATATACACTCAACGGCCACTTTATTAAGTACACCTTGCTAGTGCCAAGAAATTATCCCCCACACCATTACACCACCACCAGCCTAAACTGTTGATACAAGCCAGGATGGATTTATGCTTTCATGTTGTTTACGCCAAATTCTTACCCTACCATCTGAATGTCGCACCAACCAGTCTGCCCATTCTCCTCTGACATTAACAAAGCATTTTACTCCACACAACTGCCCCTCACTGGATATGTTCTCTTTTTTAGACATTTTCTGTAAAGCCTAGAGATGGTGTGTGTGAAATTCCTAGTACATCAACAGTTTTTGAAATACTCAGACCAAGACCGTCTGACACCAACAACCATGCCACATTTAAAGTCACTTAAATTCCCTTTTTCCCCATTCTGATGCTTGGTTTGAATTTCAGCAAGTCGTCTTCACCATGTCTAGATGCCTAAATGCATTGAGTTGCTACCATGTAATTGATAAGCGATTTGTGTTACCAAGCAATTGAACAGGTGTACCTAATAAAGTGACCCGGTGAGTGTACATTCCACATTAATGATTATGCTACCAAAATTAGTGTGTGCTGTAAATTGTCTCCAGCATTGTTCTTGTTTCTTCTTCCTGGAGGCCACCATTTTGTTGATGCCTAGAGCAGTCATTTCCTTATTGGAATCTCTCCCCTTCTTCTTGGCCTCAAAAACTGTATGTCGCCTTCTTCAATTAAAATATGTACATTTCCAGCCTTGATTGTATGTCTTGGCTCAGTTAGAAGCTTTACAGTGCTAAAGTTCACAGGATGCTGAGGGATAAAGAAGAGAATATCAAGGAGATAAGATAAGACACTATCCTTGGAAGTTTAACTCTTTTGTGTCTCCTTGGAGGGAGAGTTTGTCCTCTTAGCTCTCCTGCTTTTCTTTTCTCCTTCCCTAGTCTGTGTTCCCTCTGCACAGTCTGTGTCATTCCTGTAGCTTTCTTCGCCTTTCAGCAACAGTAAATCTTAATGCAGAACTAAACCCTCCTATCCTTTTCAGTCATGGAAGCTGCCATCTTAGCCTCTGATCTTCAACTGCCATTGGGCTGCACATATGATCAATTATGACACCAGCCATTTGACGGTTTGACAGCTTGGTTCACAGCACAAGCAAATGTGACAGCATTCCCGGCATGCCAGGAATTTAACTGTTATATGAAACCGTTAAAATGATGGGGTTTAGTACCACTGTAAAGCTGTCAGCTCATCGGCCTCTAGAGGCTCTGATTTTAGGCACAGTGCTGAGAATAGAAAGTGTTTGAGCATGTGCAGAGCAGGGCAAGACAGTGTATTTGTAGTCCAGTGTAGACAGGACTTTAAACAGTAAAGGCACTTATTTTTAATGTCTTACATAGCTATATTTGCAACAGGGGCCAGCATGAAGTGATCTAGCAGGACTTAAAGTGGAACTTTAGTCAGAAAATTAGGTCTTGCTAGATCATTTTAGACTGGCCCTTTTTGCAAGTATAGCTACGTAAAAAATTAAAAATTAAAACTATGTATCTATAATGTGTAAAATCCAATAACACACTGTCTCACCCTGCTCTGCACATGCTCAGTTCCTCGCCATTGTTAGGCATTTTTAGGCACTGCCGAACTTGTAGAGGCCCATAAGCCTTTAACCACATGCCGCCCAGCCACTGTAGAAATACAGCGGCAGGGCGGCACGGCTGGGCAAAACCACGTTTTAAAACGTGTTTTTTAAAAAAGATAGGGGGCGCGCGGGGCGCGCCGCCACCCTGCCTGTCCCACCGATCACAGCCGCGGATGTCAGTCGCCGGGTCACAGCCGGTCGTTACCGGCTATGTCCCGGCGATCGGTGGCAATCGCTGACAGGGAGCACAGCTGCCGTAGCTGTGCTTTCTGTCAGTTCCCTGAGAGCTCCAGGACACACTGATCGGGACAGAAGAGTTTCTCTCTCCCAATCAGCGGTGTTCCCTGCAGTACACACCCCCGCCCCCTAGTAAAACACTCCCCTCACACAGTTAACCCTTTCCCTGAATTATAAACTTAACCCCTTCCTTCCCAGTCCCATTAGTACAGTGTCAGTGTTTTTTTTTTTTTTGCACTGATCATTGTATTGGTTTCACTGGGGATGTCAGTGACCCCAAGTCAGTACCTCCCAATGTCATAATGTCCGCCGCAGTCCCGCCATAAGTCGCTGATTGTCGCCATAAGTCGCTGATCGCCGCCATTATTAGTATAAAAAAAAACTAAAAATCCCAGTATCTTTCCCGCCATTTGTAGACGCTATAACTTTCATGTAAACCAATTAATTTACACGTATTGGGTTTTTTTTTTTTTAGCAAAGACATGTTGCAGAATGCATTTTGGCAGAAATTTATGACTAAATTTGATTTTTACATTTTTTTTTTTACTGGACATGTTTTATAGCAAAAAGTCCAAAATATTGGTTTTTTTCCTCAAAATTGCCAGCCTTTTTTTTCATAGCGCAAAAAATAAAAACCACACAGGCGATCAAATACCACCAAAAGAAAGCTCAATTTGTGGGAAAAAAGGATGTAAATTTCATTTATGTACCGTTTTGCATGACCGCACAATTGTCCGGTAAACTAGCGCAGCGCTGTATAGTAAAAAAATGGCGTAAATTGCAGTATCTATACCATAGTTTGTAGACGCTATAACTTTCACACAAAGCAATCAATATACACCTATTGGCATTTTTTTACCAAAAACATGTAGCAGAATACATTTTGGCCTAAATTTATAACTAACTTTGAGTTTACTATATATTTTTTATAGCTTAAAGTAAAAAAATATCGTTTTTTCTTCAAAATTTTTGGCCTTTTCTTGTTTATAGCGTGAAAAATAAAAGCGCACAGGTGAGCAAATACCATCGAAAGAAAGCTCTATTTGTGTGAAAAAAAGGACGTCAATTTCGTTTGGGTGCAGCATTGCATGACCACGCAATTATCAGTTGAATTAGTGCAGCGCCGAGTAGCAAACAGAGGCCTGGTCATTAAGGGGGGTAAATCCTCTGGAGGTCAAGTGGTTAAAGTGAAATAAACCCTCTTATCCTTTACAGCCAAGGAAGCTACTTCTGTTTGATCTATAACTGCCATGGTTCTGCAAATGTGATCAGTAATGACACAAGACATTTGAAGGTTTAACAGTTTGGTTGAGGACACAAAAATATGACAGTTAGCATTTCTCGGCATTCCAGGAATGTAACTGTTTTTTGAAACTGTTAAATCAATGGATTTAGTTCCCCTTTATGATTTACTGCTGTTCAGGGGCTCTGGCTCTCAGCAAAATGGCAGCCTCCAGCAAGAAGAAACAGGAACAATGCTGGAGGCAATTTACAGCATTTTGGTAGAAGAATTCTTACATAGTTAGGCTAGCCATACATTATACAATTTTCTTGAGATTTTCGGTTTAGATTTACCAAAAACCATATAATAGGAGCTCAAACCTAACAACATTTTCAATTGTATCCAATTAGGCAGGCTTTTGCACTACATAGTTGAAGGTAAATCTAAAGGAAATTGGGCAGAAATTGGACAGAAAATTGTATAGTGTATGGCCAGCTTTAGTCTGGCTGAAAAAAGACAAAAGTCCATCCAGTTCAACCATTAAAAAAAAGTTATAATCCTATATCCACAGTTGATTCAGAGGAAGGAAAAAAAAACACAGCAAAGCAAGATCCAATTTGCTCCTGCAGGGAAAACAATTCCTTCCTGATCCCCCAAGAGGCAATCAAATATTCCCTGGATCAATGTGGAATGTACAGTTAAGTCCATATATATTTGGACACAGGCACAATTTTCATACTTTTGGCTATGTATGCCACCAGAATAAATTAAAACGAAACAATCCAGATGAATTTGAAAAGCAGACTTTCAGCTTTAATTCAAGGGGTTGAACATAAATATCAAGTACAAATTTTAGGAACTGCAACCATTTTTATACACAGGCCCTCCATTTTCAGGGGCTCAAATGTAATTAGACAAACTAATATAATCATAAATAAAATGTTCATTTTAATAATATTTTGTTGAGAATCCTTTACTGGCAATGACTGCCTAAAGTCAGGAACCCATGGACATTACCAAAGACTGGGTTTCCTATTTTCTGATGCTTTGCCACGCTCTAACTGAAGCTGTCTTCAGTTGTTCTTTGTTTGTGGGTCTTTCTGCCATTGTTTTGCCTTCAACAAGTGAAATGCATGCTCAATTGGGTTGAGATCAGGTGATTGACTCTTGGCCATTGCAGAATATTCCACTTCTTTTCCTTCAAAAGTGCCTGGGTTGCTTTTTGCTGTGTGTTTTGGATCATTGTCCATCTGTACTGTGAAGCGCCATCCAATCAACTTTGCTGCATTTGGCTGAATCTGGGCTCACAGTATATCTCTAAACACTGCAGAATGCATCCGGCTGCTTCTGCCTTCTGTCACAGCATCAATAAACACCAATGACCCAGTGCCACTGAGAGCCACACATGCCCATGCCATCACACTGCCTCCACCATGTTTTACAGATGACGTCTGCTTAGGATCATGAACTGTTCCAAGCCTTCTCCATAATTTTTTCCTCCTGTCATTCTGGTACAGATTAATCTTAGATTCATCCATCCAAAGAATGCTTTTCCAGAACTGGTCTGGCTTTTTAGGTGTTTTTTGGCAAAGTCTAATCTGGCTTTTCT